AATACGTTGAGAGGGCACTGAGGAAGCGTTATTTGCGACGAAGATTGTCTCCTGTTTAGGAGCGATTTTCAATGCATTATTGTCCGAACGAAATGTGAGATGACTGCCCTATCACAGTCGTGCCCGGGACGTTAACGTTAACGATCTTTTGAGATTACAGTGAAGGTTTCCCCCTAGCCTGAAAGTTGTAAAAGATTTTGTCTGAATAAGATGTGAGAAGATAACCAAACTACAATCATGCCCAAGACGTTAATGTGAATGACCTTTCAAGACTGCAGTGAAGGTTGCTCTGCCACATTGAAGAATGCTTCGGAGTTGATCTTCAAGATGTGAAGGAGGTTCCTTCGCCAGTTGGATGTTGTATATCATTGAAAAACGAAGTAGGGGCTCAGTGTCTTAGAGTTGATGACAATGTCAAATGAAATTTCGCCTCCCACAGACGGCGTCAAACTGATGCGTGCTAGAAAATTCGCGGTAGTAGAATAATAGATTATCGTCTTAGTTGATACGAAGATTCATCACCTACTCAGAAAAGAGAAAATAACTAATAATGACACCAGACGTTTTTATATTGAAAACCAAAAAAAAAAACCACGAAAAAAAAAAAACCACGGGAACTGACCCAACTGAAGAGTTCCAGAACCACTTCTCCCACAAGTGAGAAATGAGTAGGTTTTCCAAGCTATAACGTCGAATGACGACGACTGATAGCGATTGACAACATCCGTTCAGTGATGGTTGACGATAATTGGCGATAATCAAGAATGGTTGGCGGTGGTTGACGATGACATGAATGCTCGACGGCGACCAGCGGTGATTGGCGGTGGTCGATGGCGGCAGGAGTAGTGTTGGACTTCAGTTTTTTTTTCAAAACTTCAAGTTTTTTCACAAGCCTCAAGTTCTCCTCCCCCCTTATGAGAGGGGTGTAGCTCTATTTATAGAGTCTTGGGTGCAATTATTGCAGAAGTATGAATTACTTTAATTGGACGGTTTAGAGGGCTTCCCTCAATGAGGCGACATTTGATGAGCATTTGAGTGCCTTAATGATGTCTCAATTGAATAATCTTGGGCTAGTTGGATTTGTCTTGTCAGGACGCTTGATTTGACTATAGACTCGTTAGAATCGACATTCTTTTAACCTTCCAAATGTGCCAGAAAACTTTCAAAAGTTGTTTATTGTCTTGATTTGGGCTTGCTTTGGTTCAGATTGGACCAATTTTGGTAGCATTAGGTTCTTCTTGTCTAGTCGGTCAGTTTGACAGTAAGTTTGCTGAAATTGAAGTTCTGATGCTTTGGTTCAGATTGGACCAATTTTGGTAGCATTGGGTTCTTCTTGTCTAGTCGGTCAATTTGACAGTAAGTTTGCTGAAATCGAAGTTCTGAATGACTTTTTATTGAGATTTGAATATTTCTTACTCAGCAAGTCTGCCTTGGGATTCTTGTCATGCCTCGAGTTTCGTGCCGGATGATGGGATTTTTTTTTATGGCATACCAAATGTATAAATTAGATTATATACTTAGTTGACTAGGTTATGCGTCTTAAATAATTTATGATTTAAAAACAGATTGAGAGTGCTCCATTCAATATAGTTATTATTTTGAATTCTTGTTGGGAAATTACTCATATTGTGAATTATTAATATGCTTATAGTTGTTTATATAAATTTTAAAGATCCGTCATCTGGAATGTTTTGAACTTTCTTTTGATTATGTTTTTTTCTAGGTGCTCGAGCATTGTGTTGAATCATATTTATAGTTACACTGTATACTAGTGTCAATTTTGATTTGAAATATTTTTGATAATATTGTGGCCTATAATTTTTTTTCAGAAAAGCGGAATCCATAGTTTTTGGCAACTGACCGTAAGCTATGGACTTTAGATCATCTTTTTTCCTTGTACACAACAGAAGTTACATATGGGCCATTGTAGTACTATCTCCAACATTGGCTTGCACACTGAATTTTAGCATGTGGAGATATGTAACTTGCTGTGAATCATAGGAAAACAGGCCGCGAGGCTGTCGGCTCTTGACTTATGATCATATTGACTAATATTTGAATGTAATAGAAGATCATAGGATGTATAAATTATAATATGTATTAAATTGATTAGATTATGCATCTTAAATATTTTATGATTTAAAAACAAATAGAAAGTGTCAAAATTTAAAGAGTGCTCCATTCAAAATGGTTAATACTTTGAAGTTTTTAAGGGAAATTACTCACTTATTGTGAATTATTCATATGTTTATCGGTATTTATTTGAATTTCAAGGCTTTGTCATTTGGAATGTTTTGAACTTTCTTCTAACTATTTTTTTCTCTAGGCTTGCGAGCATTAAGTGTGTTGCATCATATCATACATGGTTCAATTCTGCTTTTTTTTTTATGATTTTGTGGCATATGACTTATTTGAGTAAACCAAATCCTTAGGGGCCATTTAGGATCATTTTTATTTTAATTTTGATTTTGATTTTGATTTTTGAATTTTGAATTTTGAATTTTATTTTATTTTGTTCATAGTTTTACTTGAAATAAAACATGTATAATATGTTATAATATATTTAGTTATTTTTAAAATGTTCTAAATAACTTTTAGATGGTTTGAGTGTTTTTTAAAAACAAACTAATTTGTATTTAAAAATAAAATAAAAAACATAAAATTAAAGTGACAAGCTCTTAGTTTTTACAAGCGACTGTAGGCTCTTGACTTTATATCAATGTATTTTTTTCCTCAAGACAGCAAAGGTTGCACATGGGCCATTGCAGAACTATCTCCAACATTTGGATAGAAGAGTGGATTTAGCATGAGAGATAGGTGACTTTCTATGAATCATAGGATAACATGCCTATTGTTCTTAAAATGCTTACCACTTGTCTCGGGCCTTTTTTTCTTGGAATGATGCTAACTATTAAGCTTTAATCCTCATGATCTTGCTGGCTGCTTTTATGGTTTTTTCTTTTGGCAGTTACACGTACCAACCTCCTGCACCTAAATTTTCCTTTTTATATTTACACCATCCAAATCTTTCATATCACATCAAAAACACCTCATGATTTTAACTCTTAAAAAGTGAAATACACCTTTTCCTGCATAGCTAAGGCCGCATGTATGTAAAAATTGAAGTTTAAATGTTCGATATGTAAATACATAGGAATTGCATAGTATGTATGTAAATCTTCCTTTTTCGTCCCTAGGATTTGCAAGTTCTTCTCTATTGTTTTTGAGTTATGCCATGATTTGTATTTGGTCCAGTAGGATCTTATCTATATTTCAAAATAAAAGTTTTCCAATATATTTTGGAAGGGATGCTGGTTTTCTTCTGCCTGTATAATGTTACTACTTGCTTTTGCATGAATAAACAACGCATTGATCTAAAATTCAATAGCATCTTCACAAAGTCTTTCTTGGTTAGGTGTCTCCACTTCAGAAAAGAAAGATAGATGATCCTGATGAGGAAGATGATACACATTGCTCCTCAAGTTACTTCAGGCAGAGGTGTTGGCTTTTCTTCTTTCTTTGTATTCCTTCCCAGATTTTTTGAGTGTGAATATTATCTTTTTTATTTAGGGAAATTTACATACATACCACACAATTCTTATGTATTTACAAAGCTAACACCCGAAGTTTGATATTTATACTTATAAAACCTTCTTATAAACATATGCATGAAAATGTGTAGTTCACTTTTAAAAAGATAACGATTGTGGTATTTTTATGTGATGTGAATGTTTAGGTGTTGATATGTAAATACATAAAAATTGTGTGCTATGTATGTAAATGCCTCTTTTATTTGTGTTTTTTGCATATAGTACTGGTTTATTGTTTTGTTTTTTTGTTTTTTACTACTCTACCCTTTTGCTGATGCCATTTCTGTGTTGAACATTTATAATTACTGTATTTATGATGTCCTGCAGTCATCCTCCTCCTGCTTTTGGCTCATCCCCAAACCTGGAGGCTCTTGCCCTTGAAGCCAGCAAGCAAATTGTGCAAGATGGAGACAATGTTTCAGTTGGCAGTGTGCATTTCTTTACTAGGTATCAAATTCTCTTTGCTCTAGAAATATAGATCGTGATTCCTGAAATTCCTTGTAACAGAAGTTGAGAAACTTCCTTTCAAAGTTTGTTTGATTGTGCGGCTGACTTTTTCTTAAAACTTTTGCTCTAGAAATATAGATCGTGATTCCTGAAATTCATTGTAACAGAAGTTGAGAAACTTCCTCTCAAAGTTTGTTTGATTGTGCGGCTGACTTTTTCTAAAAACTCTACTTCTCAATAAGGCTCACTCTCATATTGTATACTTAAAACACGTCAAGCATGTTGTGAAATATAAAATGGTCATGTTGAAAATAAATTAAAATTCTGTAGCATAACACTTGCATTGTTAATAAGATTGAGCAATTTATGATGCCGTTTTTGTGTGTGATTTGACTTATCAAATTCTATTTTGCATTCTTTCATATTCTTATGAGATGTCTCCTTAATTCATAATGGAAGATTTACATAGGTGCCGCACAATTCCTATATGTTTACATATCTAACAACCTTTTATTTTTGCATTCATGCACGTTACCTATGCATTTAAAGGTGTATTTTAATTTTAAAAAGTTAAAATTGTAGTATTTTTTAGGTGATATGAAAGATTTGAGTGTTTTTGTATATCAGATACGCCTCTACATGAATCTCGAGTAAATCCAACAAGCAAAAAGTACAAAGGGGTATAGCTAGGGAGGGTCCATGGATGGAAAGACCAAAGACCCATCAACATAAGACTAAGGGTCAACATTAGAAGACTAAGAATTCACTAACGGAATACCAAAAGAGCTTTTTTTTGCTTGCACAAGGTCTATATGAGAAAATTAATTTATAGCAATCAGTTATCTGACTAGTTGTGCGAGAATCAATTATTCAAGAATGTGATAAATTAAGAATAACACCTAACAAAACAACAACCAAAAAGTTGCCTATCTGTAATAAGGAGCAAGACAGAGTCAGAGACAATTTTGGAGATCAAAACAATTTGTGCAAGTGCTCTAGTTGTTCTTTGGTGAAAGAGACTGCATTCAAGTTAGTAGACAACTTCTATGTTTCTTTAGCAGGGGCTCGATGAGCACGACCTTCACACTTGGATTTTAATTTCCAATTTGCAGGTTTATCATGAAGCTTCCAACCCATTTTTTCATTCATGGTTTTTTGCAATGCTCGCACCATGGATTTTTATGTCCTTTTTTGTCAATATCAATCCCTTTTGACGCAAGAGCTGAGTTCTCATCATAATTTTTCTTTTCGACTTGTCACGTCTAACTTCAGAAAAGACTTCTTGAATTGAGGGTAGAGATTTTCTACCTAGGATTTTCCCTTGAACTTTATCTAAACTCTAATTAAGAGCAACTAATAACATGTAGACCTTGTTGTTTTTCTCTCTCCTTATGTGGCGAGCATAATCATTCAAATTCTTCCAAATATCATAACATTGACCAAACTTCTGCTATAATGTTACCAACTCATTTTAACACGTTGCAACTTTATATTCATTTTGTTTGGATTTTCAAAGTTGAGTTTTCAACTAAAAAAATCGTGAAGAATTCTCAAATTTGAGTAGAGATCTCAAACTACTTCCTAGATATCTCGAGTGATGGGAATGCATAAATGAGACTTTCTTATGGTAGGTTTAATAAAGTTGATCAGCCATGCCATTTCCAGAGAATTTTTGGACTGCATTTTTTTCAGATTTAGGCCGCTAGCAGTAGGTTTTAAAGTTTTTCCAGTTAAATATCCAATGTTGAGTCTCCATTTGGTCGCCAATTTTTGTTGATTGAGCCAACTCGAGGTAGTCGTGTCCATTAAGTTTTGTAATTGTGAGGTAATGTGGTAAATTGTGAGAAAAATACTCGGTTCGATACACCTATGAGCTGTGGGGCTAGGTGAGATCGTTTTAGAATCACTGAAATCTGTCAATATGGTAGTGTTTCTTTGAATTCAAGTCATCATTTCTAATTTGTATGACACCCTCAAGAGTTTGAGAAGAGCAGAGCAACATCTATGGCCCATGCACATCGAATTTAGTCACTGGTTTGAACAAAAAAAAAGGTTCTCCCTACTGTGACAATAGAGAAATAACAGGGAAAGAGGATCGATCGGATCTTGAGGTTTGAATCAAGCGATGCTAGGTAAACTTTGTAGATTGTGAGAGTTCGGATTTCTTAGGACACACCAAAGAAATAGAAGCGAAAGAGGAGCCCTCAAATATGGAGTCTCAAATTATGTGACACCAATAAAACATTGAAGGTCACGCGAGGAAACTTTGGCAGAAGAAGGTCGTGCTAGCAGATCATCACACATTCCTCACTAGTTTCAGGTATGAGCAAAGCGAAGCAAAGCCACTCGCAATAGTAGGTCTCTCGGACGATCGAGCATACCTAATTCAATTGCAATATTGAAGGCAAACCTGCTTTGATACCATGCAGGTTTTAGTAGTGGAAAAATAATTATTCATCTTTAATTTCATAGAAAATGATTACAGTATATATAGACGGGGATGCATTCCACATTAGGAAACTAATAAAATTAACCATCTCTCCCTGTTAAAAGAAGGAAACATGAATTATGCATCAATAATTCTAACATCTAGAAAAAAATACTAATAATAAAATAAAATCTTTCAAAAATCCAATAGTGTTCAAATGCTTCAAAGCCCTTCCAGCATTAATACTTCGTTGATGTTGCCAGAGATGGGGTGGAGCAATTTACTTTCCTTTGGGGCTTGGGTTCATCATTAGAATTTCGGAAATAGTCACCCTGCTACGGCAGGTGTAGGTTCTCATGCATAAATATTTTCTAAACCGACTTGGTGGAAGTCTTGTGGATTGGGCAAATTGGTTTGCTGGTTGTATAACCTTTTCTGTAAATGTTGAACCTCACAAATTTATATTTGTCTCATCTCCAGTTTCATAATCTTGTTTCACAGATTTCTAATTTGACATTAGCCCTTTGGTCCCGTGATACTGATCAATTTCATTTTAACATTGAACTTCCTGGTTTCCATTAACTTCACAGTATATTTTTGACCGTGGGTTATATTTTTGGGTAGAATAATTAGTAATTAGAAAGTTTTGTGGTAGACTGTTTGATCTCTTTTGCGTGTCTTTTGTTATTCCTTAATATACATTTTTACTCATTCATGATCAGCTGCCTAAATGATCACTAGATTGTTTGTGTTCAATAATTTTTTTTTTGTATATTCTTATCCAATTTTATGAGCTTGTTTAACTTGGTTTATGTTTTAGGGGAATTACAGAGCCTTGAATGATATTTTGACATTTATTAGTTGCCTTGAACGTTTTTGCAGGCCTATGCATGAAATAACATTTTCAACTGATGACAAACCAAAGCTTCTCAGTCAGGTGCCGATATAACATCCACATCTTTTATGAAATCATTAGAATTTTGAAATGTCTTTTCTGAATTGCATTTCAAAATTGAAGATTTTTTATTTATTTGAGGCTTATAGACTATTAACTCGGTAAATGAATGATCTTGAATTTGAATTCTTGATACAAGTTTTTGATTAATACATTGAAGGGAGACTATAACTTTATAATCTTCCTCAGATATTTTTCTCCTCATTATGCTTCAAAGATGAATTAAATTCATCAGTAGAATTTGATGGAGAACTGAGAGGTATAAATCCAGGAATTAGATAAGAAAGTGCTTGTGAAAATGGGGGACGGAGCGAGAGAATTTAGAGAAAATCGATAAAAAAAAGATCTTGGAGGAAAAGAGAGAAATAGAGAGGATATAAGAAGTGAATGAAAATGAGCCACCTATGAATTCAAGTTTGTATTTGAGTTCTTCTCTTCTCATTAACTGACGATGCTATTTTTACGGAGCCACCTATGAATTCAAGTTTGTATTTGAGTTCTCTTCTCATTAACTGACGATGCTATTTTTACATGTAATATGATTTTATTATGAAAGTAATATAAATTTTAATGTGTTGATTTTTAGAATTCAGCGGAATTATATTATTGATGTGAAAAGGAGGTATAAATACCCTTACATGTATCCTAGAATAGAAAAGATATGAAAAAGGAATAACATGGAAGAAAAGATACAACACCTATATATCCAATTAATCAAATCATAAAGATTATTTGCAGATAAAGGAAACAACATAAAATGGGAAAACCTAAAATATGAAAGGAAATAAATCCATTTTAAGGAAATAAATCTAAAATATGAAATAAAATAAATTCAATCCAAGGAAATAAATCTGATACTTATAACTTCTAACATGAATAATTTATTTCCTAATATAATTTCTAACACTTCACTCAAGTTGAAATATGGTTGACAAACATGTTCAACTTGGATTTCAAATTGTCAATTAATGAGCGAGGAAGATTCTTTGTGAGGTAGAACTCGAAGTCATCCCGTACTTGGTAATCAACCCCAAGAGCATTTAGGGATATTCTTAGTATACTACAGTTATCTTTGACTACTATTTCTGCAGTGTCTATAGGTGGATGGAAGATTCCTACAGGTATTGCTATTGGAAAGTTTGCAGGGAAGTAGACAACCTATACGAAAAGCTAACTTTTAGTTGACTGCAGTTTCTGTAGTGTCTTTAGATAGGTGGAAAACTTCTACAGGTAATGTTACAGGGAAGCAGACAACCTACATGGAAAATTGCAGGGTATGACCTGTAGAAAAAAAAGAGGAAAAACTTTGGAGGAAGACCTGCTGCAGGAAATAGCTTCGGAGGAGGGTCTGTTAGAGAAAAAATGCTCTGAAGGAGGGTCTGCTGCAGGAAGAATTCCTGAGGACCTGCTACTAGAAAAAAACTATGGAGAAGGGTTAGCTGCAAAACAAAGCCCTGGAGAAAGGCCTGTTGTAGGAAAAAATTTCGACGAGGAGGGTCTGCTGCAGGAAGAATTCCTGAGGACCTGCTACTAGAAAAAAACTCTGGAGAAGGGTTAGCTGCAAAACAAAGCCCTGTAGAAAGGCCTGTTGTAGGAAAAAATTTCGACAGAGGGCTTGCTGTAAGGTATAACATCAAAGGAGGGCTTGAAAGTGGGAATTCCGGCTGTAGGGAAGAGTTATGGTGGTGGAGACAATCAGTGAGAGGATTCCTTCTGCAGAGAGGAGCTGGACAGAGACCTGCAAAGGAAGTTTCAGATTGGTATAGCAGTTTCGACTTGCTCTGGAAGAGGAGATTCGGCTCAGGTAAAAGGTGTTTATGGAGCAGTTCTGTGCAGTTTGTTTCCTGATGCATCCAACTAGAGGAGAAACCGACATTGGCTCAGAGAAATTTGGATCTCGTTGGAGAGCTAGGGATTGTGAAGGTCTAGGAATGAAGCAACATAATTTCTCCAATTTCCGACGGAATTGCTCCTGTAGTGTTGCTGCTCTTCAACCGCAAAATTTAAAGACACCCGAGCTATCCAATCTCTGGCTGAATGGTCTTGGTGAGACGATTAAATCCCAAATCCAGCGACCTCAGCCCTCTGCAGCTTGCAATGCTTGGAGAAATATCTCCGCTTAGATCATTCCAGGACAAGTCACTGTGTTTTACTCGATTGTCACAACTGTCGATCTCCTACATCTCTCTATGGAAGCGGTTGAAGGAAGCATTGAAGTAGCTTAGGTTTGTGAGAGCTAGAATATTGAAAGGCTCCAGATAGATGAAGTAATTGCTTTCGAGATCGAGAAACACCAAGCTCCTGTACGTGGAGGTCTTAACCGTGATTCTCCCTGACAAAGAATTGTTGCCCAGGGAAATAGATGAGATCTTCATTGGTGCAAAGAACTTGTCTTAAAGCAACTCTTGAATAGAGCATCTAGAATCTCTCCAAAGAAAAAGTTTTGCCCTAAATCCAGGAGGCGAAGGGCTTGGAGAATTCTGAGGAATGTCAGAAACTCGCTGGAAAACTTGTTGCAGCTGAGGTTGAGCTTTCTTAGGGTTCTCATAACGATGAACTCCGACAGCTTGCCGCTGAAGAAATGGTTTCTAAAGAGGGTGGAGAAACAATTTCTAAAGAAGGAGTTTGAGTCTGCAGAGAATGTAGCTCGGCGAGGGAGGAAGAGAACGTCTCTTCGAGAGCAGCTCCATCTTCGTTGTCCCCGCTGGTAACTCCGACGTAGTCATGGCATCACCAGAGGCATTCCAAGAGCCAAGAAAGCGTCGGGGATCCGCTATCACATTCCTTTTAAATAGTAGCAATGTCTCCTCTTCCACCACCGTCACCACGAGTATAAAAGTAAAATTAAGCTGCAACTATTAAATGAGCAAAGAGCAAAAAGCAAAGAGCAAAGAGGGTTTCCGGTGACTACGGCCTGTAGGGATAGAGTTCTGGTGGCTAGGGTCTGCAGGAAGGAGTTATGGCGGCTAGGGATTGTTGGAAGAGGAGTTTCAGAGTCAGAAGAATACAAAAACTGAATAGAAGAATGGTTGATTGTTGCTTTTTTTTGTCGTTTCTGCATGATGCTGCTGTCCAGTATCTGTTGCTGCTTCAAGATGGATTTCGGTAAAGGATGGGCCTGCAACAGGGGAAAGATTGCTGGCTACTGGGAATAGGATGTTTTCCAAAGATAGAAGATCTTCTTCTCAGGATGGGCCTGCAACAGGGGAAAGATTGCTGGCTATTGGGAATAGGATGTTTTCCAACGATAGAAGATCTTCTTTTCCGTCGGAAATTTTAGGGTTTGTTTCAAAGCTCTGATACTATGTTGATTTTCATAATTCGGTGGAATTATGTTATTGATATGAAAATGGGGTATAAATACCCTTACATGGATTCTAAAATAGGAAAGACAAGAAAAAAATATATAAAAGGAAAGATATAACACCTATATCTCCAATTAGTCAATTCATAATAATCACTTGGAAATAAAGGAAATGACATAAAATAGGAAAATAAATAAATCTAATCCAAGAAAATAAATCTAAAGAAAGGAAATAAATCTAATCCTCATAACTTCTAACAGGAATAAGGTATTTTCTAATATAACTTCTAACATAATGCTATTTATTATATGCATTAAAGGTTACCCTAAAATCACAAATTCTTGTTAAAAAAGCAAAATGATGTCAGATGGACACAAATGAGATTAATAGTGCGGTTCTGTTTTGTTTTTTTTTTTTTGCTTTATGCTAAAGATAATTATTTGCTGATATTGATGAATGTCAACGTTTAATTAGATGGCATTTAGGATTTTCCGTTCTTTTCAATAACTAAAAAGAAAGCTGCGCTTGAACGTGAATCTTAAAAATCATAATAACTGTCTTACTCAATTGGTTGGAGTCAAGATGATAAGAAGAGTAGAGTAGGGAAGGCTTGAATATGACTTTACTTGCTACTGTTGCACTATATCTTAATCTATTTATGGATATAAGTAAACAAGATTAGATTTAATCTAATATTAAGATTAGCTTTATTAGATATAATTTATAAAAATAGGAATGGAAGATTGTAAAATTTTTTGATATAATAAATTGAAGAAAAATAAAAATCTTGTTTAAATGAAGGGAAAAAAAATCATGTACAAATGTGCTAGCTGTTATTAGAGCTACACTAAATGATTATGGTGCAACTAATGTCGATTTGGATCTGTCATAGGTGGGACATGTGGTAGTTATTCTTAGCTGGCCAAGTAGTCGTATTTTGTTGGCTAATAAACTTAAAAGTACAAAATTATTTGGGAGCTCTCTATAAACAGACACCTTGATCCTCGTAACAAATATGGATCTTTGAAACAGTAGAAAAGATAAGACCTCTTATTGCATTATGAGTAGGTTCTTATTTTTCTCCTAGAAAAAAAAAATGTAGTGTAGTTATTTACTCTATTGCTTGCTGGACTCTATTAGTCTATATCTCGTATGAAGTTGTTGATAAATATGTTGATTGTAAAAGAGATGAGAATGTTAAGTTGAATGTGTGATAAATTAAGAAGGATCTGTTTGTAAATAGTTATTATATTGTGATGGTGATAATATCATCTATTTGAGACAAGGCTCTGTCAGGTCCTTTGGGAATTCATAAAACCTTGGGCACATTTTCTTCTTTCTCCTGTTTGTAATTTCCACGCACTTAGTCATTCCCTTTATTGTTTGTAGTCAAAATGATTCTTATGAAATTTTAAGTTAAATTTTTTTAAAGCAATCTGATTTAATAAACTTATTCCATTTTCCAGCTGACTTCTCTTCTTGCTGAGCTTGGTCTTAACATTCAAGAAGCGCATGCATTTTCAACAAATGATGGCTACTCACTAGATGTCTTTGTTGTCGTTGGTTGGCCATACGAGGTACTCTCAAAATTTCACTTCAGTCATCATATTTTTTTAAGCGCTTCATGTCTAGCATCTTCTTATTTTTATTTTCTTTTAGAAGCATATGAAATCACATAATGCTTTCATGTTATGTTTCTTATTTGGACATTGAACGTTTTCCTTGGTTTTTACAGACAAATGAAGCCTTATTCTTTGAGGAAAATCTTATGTCACCTTTTTTTTTGTGAATCAATTGTTATCGGTACTTTCCAGAAACTTGAAAAATCATTGTTGAGAAGAACACTGCAGGAATAGGCAAATCCGACGATAATTGAGGTTTATTATCGGATTTAAGTTCGATTTCTGTCGGTTTTTTTTCACGGGTAAATCAGGGGTCCATAATTTTAATGCCGTACATCTAGCGTCGCAAAACTTTGATGCAAAACATTTGCGTCGTATTATCATCGAATTTGTTTATGTTACATGTGTGTCAAACTAAATATCATACGTTAATATCATTCGTCGTATAACCATCCAATTTGCAGTCAATAATGTCGAAGAACGGTAGAATATTATTGTCGTTTTAACGTCGGATTATTCGACGCAAACTGGATGCAAATAAGATAAAACTGCTATACAGAAAAAAGTACAAAAGAGCAATTACATTTTCACAACCTGCATGCAATACAATATACACATCTCAATCACATTTTATCCATCCCTATCAACACAGATCAAAGCTCAAATACATATCCATAATGAAAAGTAATATACTGTTAGAAATTATCCCAAATAAGAATGATAAAATTAACTAAAAAATCTACAATAAATGTTCAATGTAATGACGACAGATAAAGGAAAACATAAAATGAAACTACTCATCATCTCCCTCCTCATTCTCCGCTATGACTGCCATTTGTTGCTTGCCTTGACGATATGCTAAAGTCTCTGTCATGCGTGCTATAGAGTCATTGACTTGATTTTGGTCTTCAAGCATCTGTAATGCAACTGTCGGCGCTCTTCATTCATTGCAGCGACCTGCCTGACAAGAGACTCCTGATCTGGCTGTGAGAATCTTGGGGAACTCAACATTAGATCGCGGGAAATCTCGACCTCGAAAGCTTTGTTCTTCGTAAACCCTCCCCTTCTTCTCCACCGCCTGAGTCCAAAGATTGTACTCGAAATGCGAGGTGGCAGACTGACTAACACTGCTGTTGACAGAAGTCTGAGGTTGAGTGTCTAAGTGTCTCTCTTAGAGCTGCTCAAACTGTTGCAAAATTAATATCAATATTTAATTCCCATTTTTAATAGTAATTGTCAAAATAAAGTTTTAAATTTTTTTATACTTTCAACAACCTGTTGGGAATAGTCCGAGACTCACTGCTGCATCCCCGGGTGCCGATGAGTTTGGACGTGCTGCTCTGTAATAGAGGGCTCATTGCTCAACTCCTTCACCTGTGCAACCTATCAAATTGGTTAGCGCCACATATTTACATCAAATACTGAATTTTTAAGCATTTAAAAGAATCTTGCCAACCTCTTGTAGTGCTCCGTATGGGGGACTAATCTGCCAATATGAAGCACAGCTCCCCTGGCCCTCCCATCGCCCAGTGCGCCTGGTTCGCTCGGTTCATCTACCTCTTTCTCTCATAAGTAGGAGAGGCTCGGGTTGCGGTCAACTGACCCCAAAGCTCTTCAGCGTTCGGACAGGCCCACTCGCTCCTCTGGTGGATTGTCGTGAACATGTCTCCAAGGTGATGTCTGCCACAAATCTCAAAGATTTAGTGGATCTGATGGTGGTACTCTGGGATCCAGGTGAAGGCCCTCTGCAAAATAAGAAATAATCCACATGTTAGTATAAAAAATCAAATTAAATTCACAAATCTAAATCAAATTATATGATTGTACCTCGAATTCTCTGAATCACAAGCCGCGAGTGGCTACTGAGATCTCTTTCCATGGGAGATAGTGCTATCTTTCCTGCTCTTGATAATCTCTGTGATGCAGGTTATGTGCATCTTGTGGGGAATGAATCTACTTAGAAAAAAAAATAGTTATGAAAAAATATATAGAATGAAGAATAAATATAATATACTCTTAAAAATAACTTACGAGTCCCCTTCTGGCAGTAAATGTACCCTTAGGGGGTGCAGGAGTCAAGGGGCCAGGCTCAAGAGATGTTGAAGCAGGTGGGGCTGGAAGTGGTAGGATAGTAGGTGTGCCAGTAACACTATTAATCGCAGTAGGTGGGGGAGTAGGTGCTGAGGCAGCAGACAGGGAAGCAGTCTGTGGGTGAGCAAGTGTCACAAGAGGCTCGGCAGCAGCGGGTGCGAGAGCAGGTGTTACAGGAGGGGCTAGCAGCGGGTTCGGGAGTAGGTGTCAAAGGAAGGGTGGAAGCAGTGGTTGTGGGAGCAGGTGTCATAGGAGATGTGTCAGCAGCAGGTGGGGTAGCAATGGTGGAAGCAATAGCAGAAGTAGACGACCTCCTATTCTTGCTACGGTAGGTTATCTCTAGTGTCCCAGAACACAGTGTCTCTGAGGTGGCTTACCTGCACCACCTGTGGCCATTTGCAAATAAAGGAATGACATTAATAAGATTAGTACTGACAGTAAAAATAATCATAAGCATAAATAAACGGTGCAATAAAGATAAGACAAGTAACAACTATGTCTAAAATAGGAAAAATAAGAGTAAACAACTATGTCTCAATACAACAAAAGTAAAAGAAAAAAGTAGCTGTGGTAACCATTAATCTAAAATTACATACCTTTTTTATTAAGTTTCAACAGAGGAACTCATCGTGAAAGATAAACCTAAAATTTCTTCTTCATTCTCATACCATGAGAAACCTCTTCAAAAATCCTCTTGGTATCCTCTTAGCGCAAACATTTCATCATTTATGCTACCGTGAATACGAAAATCTAACATACCTTCCTCTTGGTGAATTGGTTCTATAATGCTATGCAACTCAATAATTTTTGTTGGTTTATTCTTCATAGCTACAACCCAATCAACTTTATCTCTTACTCTATAAGGCATTGAAGGTAATAAACCTATGTAGTTTTGTGTGCCAGAACAAATAGATCATACTTCGCGTATCGTCAGTTTATTTTGGCTTCGATGATATCATAAGACATAAGTGTTCAAGTTCCTCGATTTAGAATAGGACCGAATCACTGACAGCTGATTAAGTATACATTGTAGCTGACATTACCTGGATATTGCAATTGACTTACTTCACCAAGTACAATGTAATAACTAATTTCGCTATCGGTGTGTATATTTCTTTTAACAACAACACCATGGTTATATATTTTGTTCCTTTCACACCAAGAACTTGTGTGGAATCTATAACCGTTTACATCAAATATCTTCTATATAGTAACGCTGCGATTAGGCCTTCAAGCAAGGTTTAATAATCTCTGATATGTGATTCTGTTAGTTCTATTGTGAACCTATAAAAATTTAAGAGGTACTATTAGTATAATTTTAAATGTGACGATTATATACGTACATGTGATTTGAAGAGTTGCTTCTGCGTATTATGTTGGAAATTCTGTTTCGACCTTCTTGTTTATCAAACATTCATCTTGCATGTTCTAGCTGTCAATAAATAATCAGCTTACAACATTGTCATTTGTATTTTCGAATAAGTTAGTATATAGATAACTTTCTCAATAATAAACAGTGTTAAGTTTGGGGACCGTGAATCTTATTGTATAAATGGATTGACTTCATCACAGTTCATCAGAACATACAATGCAGTTGACCGAATCTTTTTATCGCTTTGATATTGTGTACCATGCCTCCCTGATGACTCACCTGATATTTGATATACGTATAGTTCTGGCTGTGAGAGCATCTCAACTACAATGTCTTTGAATGCCTTGCTCAAAATAATAAGAGAAGAAAATTATGGTCTCCTGCAACAGATATGCTTCGCATATCGATCCATCTAGATTTGCTTTATTCTTAACTGTTTTTTTATTTTATTTAAAAATTTGCAGCACAATGGCATTTTATATTGATTATGGTGGTCGTTTAGTGTGAAATAAAATGCTACTCGCGATGTATGCGTTAGGAAGATATATCTCTCAAAGGAATACATCCATCTATACAGGCAGATGCTTCATAGAGTCAAGGAAATCAGGAGGAGATATCCGCTCAAGTTTACATAGTAATAGGGAAATACTCGTATAAGATGTCTTAACGAGTCAAAATTCAGTGTCCCTGCACACAACTCTGAAGAATATACTGACTTTGATCAATGGGTCAAGCACCTGCTTCGACAACGCATAAAATGCAATAAGATAATAAACACTGCAGAAATGTATGACGGCCATGACTCTCCATGCCAAATACCTTCCTCTTTCCCAAGTCAAAACAACGGCTTAAATTTGAAACACAACCATTGAAAAACTTCAGAGAATTCACCCACTCAAATATTATTCTCCATTGATCTAGTGTATGACTATGCAATTTTGAGCTTTATTAATTTATCTGCATTTGTTTCCTGAAGTTATAATGTCTTCCTTTCGCAATACTCTTTCAGGTTCATTCTAGCTTTCATTCTCTTTTGTTTACCCTTAATATCCATCACAGTATTGAAGATGCTATCAAAAAAATTTTTCTCAATATGCATAATATCGAGATAATATCTAATCAGATTAATTTTTCAGTACGAAAGATCGCAAAATATACTCCAGTTAGTCCAGTTGCGTGACATTGAAATTAGGAATATGAGTTTAAGCTAACAGTAGTCTCTCGGTGATTTTTGATATTTCACTGATCATTTGCAATATTTCAACTCCAATTTTCCTAAGGGGCGGACTTGATCTTTCAACCCTGTTTTTGAAGAATACTTCTATGTTCCTTCTAAATGGGCGATCGCAACCTAAAAAACTTTGATGACAATCAAACTAGCTATTTTTCCTTCCATGATTTAGACTAAATGCTTTTGTCATATCCATGTAGTAAGGACAAACCAATTTCCCAGTTGTGCTTCAACTAGCTAGCATCCCATGTGACGGAAAAT